GGAATCAAATCGACTTAGCCCAACTTAGTTTTAAAAAGCACACTCTAGTCTATCTGAATGTCATACGACAGCCCTCTGCACCGACTACATCAGAAGATTTTCTCAAGGAAACATGGTTCACGGTACGAGGTCGTCGATGTACCATAGGCCATTGCGACCTCCCCGAAACGTAGCTAGTGTCACCTAGAAGTTATTCATCATCTAATCAATTGAAGAAATCATGTAGCAGCTTCAGGCCGGAGCGATTACAGCAAGCCTCGTTGAGCTCGACGGTGACGACAGATGACGTCATATTTTGAAGACGGTGGAGGCAGTGAAAAAGGGCCTACTTCTGCTTACGTGGGAACATCTTAGGAATATTCCGCCATAAAACTCTCATTAACATCGGCGCCCTGTGCGACAAAAAGTTCGATGATGTGCGCCATAGGCAAAGTGTCTCTTTTTTTTTGGCCACCCCTGTAGTGCAGTCGAGGAGTTTTGAAACAGGTTAGGCAAAGTCATTTGTTGTGTGTTGTGTGTAAGTAATTTCTTGTGGCCTTCAGAGGGTACCCCTAGGAGACCCGTCGCGCGGCAAGAAGGCAAAGTCAGTGGACGAATCGCGCGCGGACTATAGGAGCGACGATCGCTTCACTTAAATAGAGAAATACGGTGCTAACTTAGTTGGGGGGGGGGCACGCGGCGGCGCGGCAGTCTGCTCGCCTGGCATGTTCGGAAATCCGTGGGCCAGGGGGAGTGTAGGCAGTCTAGGGGGGTGGGGGGTGGGGGCAGTCACTTGACATGCGTGAAAAGCTGGAATGTTCGAGTTTACACTGTCTCGCTCGAGAGAGCCCAGGTGAGCAGACTGCCGCGCCGCCGCGTGCCCCCCCCCCCCCCAACTAAGTTAGCACCCAGTGTTTCCCACTGCACGTCCTACATCGCACACCACGCGCTGCAACTCATCCACCGACTCTGCCTTTTTGCCGCGTGATGGACCTCCCGGGGGTACCCGCCTTCAGAAGAGGTTATTTCAATTCATAGCACCGATGAAGGGGGGTGGTCGTTGCTGCCCTTGAATTTGCTCCCTGAACATCAGTGCATTAGTAGTGTTCCAATGCGACGTGTTGGCCAACGCAGCACAGTCGGAGCGCAGTCGCCTTCGCTTTCGGCTTTCATGGGGGTGGGAGGAGGTGTGAAATTCAATGGCCCGCGACGAGAAATGCTAGCGCTCATTTGTCCGTTGACGCGGCCGCCCAGCGCGCGCGGCCGGGCAGGGCTGACGGCCGGCCGTGTCAGAGTTCGGAATGCAGCGAATCCAGCTGATACCAGCGAATCGAACGATGTATTAGCGATTCGACAATGTTAATAAGTGGCGTGATTCCTTCGAACGTTAGCTCTCGCCACTTTCCCGGTACGAGACGGCGGCATGAGAACTGTGGGGGGAAGCGCTGCGCAGGCAGCGTTGCAAGAGGGGAGCAGCCCGTTCACTTCTAACAGTGTCGAGTCGCTGGTACACAGCTCGATTCGCTGGTGCAACGCTTGTATCTTGCGATTCGCTAGCGAATCACTAGATTCGCAAAGTATGCACCTGCCGTAGATGGACGAAAACCGCTGACAGGAAGCATGAGTATGTGCAAAACCGTAACAAAAGTTATTAATATTGGATTCGGTCGGTTCATCTTCATCGTTAGATCGACACGGTAACGCGAGTATTGCCTAACGCTAAGGGAAAGTTACGGTATGTTGGTTTAGTTGAAGTTAGATGCACCCCTAGGCTTGTGCTTCATGCTGGCACTACAAGGATCAAAACACCCGTCTTCCACATGCATTAACAAGGGGAAATGTGGTTTCAAATTGTGTCACAACTTTGGACTGCAACGAGTGCGTGGCGCGTTCAAAAAAGGACTTATTGGCGTCACTTCTCGAATTTGATTCGCGCGGGAGATGAAAAGGTATTGGACGAATTTGATGTACTCCACTAAAGCAGAATGTAGTAATAGGGGAACGTGAGGTATGGCTGGCTTCTTCAAGCTCGAAAACAAAGTCGTTTCTTATGAAGCTCAGATCTTATATTTTTGAGTACGCTTTGTTTTATTTTGGGAAGGAATTTCTGACCAAATGGTGGTTATTGTAGGCGATTGAAATCATGATAACTAGGAGCCCGAAAACTCGTTCTTCAAGGGAAAACTTGGCCGGCTAAATCTCCGAAAAGTCTGAGCTGGCGATCTTCTGGAATAAGCGACTTCTGAAAACCGCTCAAGTGCTAGTAGCATTTCAATCCAATGTTGAACAGCCTAAAACTTTCTCTCTTGCTGTCTAAAAACCATCGGTACTACCGGTTAAGAAATAATTTTAAGTTGTGATGATACTGCAGTTGCGTTGGTACGTGAAGACAAGTCTGTTTTATCGTCAAGACGATTCGCTGATCGAGAAACACAACGGAGATTGGGTGGAATTTCTCCAAGAGCGGTAGCCTTGCAGGTGCGCAGCTTTTTATAACTGCTTTTGATGAATACATTCATTGAAAAACTCAACAGAGACTGAAATATTTTGAAATTTTCCATAAAAGTCGCAAAATTGCTCTTATTGTGAATCTCAGCATAAGGAACATCTCCCACGTCTTCTGAATGAATGTTTGGATGAAGCAGGTATGAGCGTCTCGGATGTGGATGCTATAGCTGTGACAACTCGACCCGGGTTGGTCATTGCCCTGAAAGAAGGCATACGATTAGGACTAGCTTTGTCAAGGTGTGAGTTCACTGCTATTTCGATTATTAGCGTACTTTTCATCATCTCCGAAGCAACCTAGTAGATTATGAGCCAAGCATGAGACCCGATGCGGTGAAAAATCGGAATCCCGATGAGTTTCTGGGATTTTCCTTGTCTTTTCCGCCTCTCTTTTGTTCAGATCGAGCTTCTCGCTGAGGGACCTTTTAAATGGCAGTTTTTCCGGGAGGAGGGGAGGGGGGGGAGGAGAGGGATTACCCATAGGTCACGCATTGTTTCCGATACTTTTAGACTAGTATTTTAGTGCAGATAAATGTATTATATCTTCCTGGTTGACATCGGCTCTTGCTTTGTGTATAATTTCTCAGCACAGAATACCTCATCGTTTCTGCTAGAGGGCTACGCTCTGATCATATCGGTACCATCGCTGGGTTGTTAAATTGTCAACGTTGATTCATTACTCTAGCGAAGAGTGTGAAAATAGCTTCGGGTGTCGCCGTAGGAAATCAGGTCAACACCAAAGGCTCTGCCTATTGGAGAGGTGTTCAACCACTGCACAATGCAACTGCCCTATAAAATTGTGCTATCTACGGCTTGCAGCTGAGCTGTTGCTGATGTGAGAAGCGCCTTGCGTGAAGATTTCAGGCGATAGTGAAGCATTTGTAACCGTGAATAAGTGTCTGATAGCGAAATGAGAAGAGAATAAAAGCAAATAATTTGTTGAAATTCCTTGCTTGTAATTATAATGTTATACTTCTGCCAACGAGGGTACTAGGTGGTAACTTTATTAGAGGCCTGACGTTTCGACGAGGCCATCTTCCTCAAAGGCCCAGTCCACCACCACAAGAGTATATAGACATTCATTGCAGCTCCCTTTAGTATCTCCGGTCTACCTAATTGTGCTCAATGTCTTTACCTCAGTAACGTTCAATACAATCGCCCAAACACTGGAAAATTTTTCGCACTTTTCAATGCGATACTTCATTTTTTTCTCTGGTTGCTCTTGACTTCATTATCTTTCAGACAATACAAAAGGGACTTCGTATCTATACATCACATGCGTGCGCATGCATTATCTGGTTTTCTCGTTTCTGAAAGCCTACGGTTTCCCTTCATTTCAACGTTGATCTCTGGTGGTCACGCTTTAATAGTGCTATCTCGTTCGGCAGACGACTTCGTTCTGTACGGTAAGGGATTTCAGTTGTTGAATCACGTCACGAAATCACCTGATCTGCTTCTGCGCATATGCACCACTTTGGAACCATAATACATTTCCGCAAAAAACATTGCAGAATGTTTGAATTCGCGAGTACTGCTGCTTCTATTTCACCATCAGAGAACTAAATCATCGATAGTTATGTCCCTCTAGAGAAAATGCAAGACTATGTGATACCGCCGTAGAGAAATGATGTCGATAGTATTTATGCCTACATAATATAATAGGCACGCATGGTCCTACTAGAAAGGTCGAAATAATTTCCAAGAAGAAAGTCCCTAATTAATCGTGGTGTGTCTTGCGTACTAGAATTCCAAGGCCTTAAAAAATGATTTTACAGCCTTTAAAACAGTTTGAAGCTGAAAATTCAAAGTAAAAAAAAAAACAGAACATGACACGACGACTTAAGGGATGTTTCATACGGCTCATAAACTTCGTTCAGAAAGAATCTGAACTATATCGAATTTAGATTCAATCAGAATTTAAACACATCTAGTTTCTTTAGTATACGCCATCGGTAATTTTTTGGAAACTAACAATAGTAACAGCAAATACGTATCGATAGCATAAATTCTTCGTATATTTGTTTTTGTTCGGCTATTTATGCATTGTTTTTACCCAGGATTCTTTTTCTCGATGTCTATAGCGTATAGAACAACACAAATATCACTAATATATACGGCTAAGCGTTGTGTGTTTGGGTCTTGACCGAAATCATAACTCTCGCTCCCTTGGTCCCCGAGCGCTCAAACTTTCAGGCTTTACGGGGGGCTGGACACGAACATCAATGGGGAGTGATCGCAATTGATAACTACTGATTAGAGCTGATAACGAACGTCGGAAAGCTCATATCACCAATTTCGCTACGAGGTTCGCGTTGACAGTGGAGTTCCACTCATAAATTGTAATGTCGGACGGACCCGAATAAGAGCGAAAAATGTGATAGCAAGCGATAAGAGATGACAACGTGCGCCGGAATGCAAAGGCCACCAGTTTTATTGCTCTCCTCGCATTGGCAGTAGACATGTTTGAACCCATTCATATTATGTGGGATTAGGCGGGGACCATGAGGGTGAAGTAAAAGAAAAAGTAGGCAATGACTAAGAACATGATAAGGGCTCAGATGTGAACAGCATATCAGTTCGTCGCGGCCTCCTGCCAAGGACGACGTAATACTGCTCTACCATATGGACGAGAACTTACGAACACGATGGTAATGATCAAAAGTAGATAACTATCGATAACGTTTGACAACGAACTCCAAATGAATATGAACTTTGTTGCAATGAATACTGCCACGATCATAGACGGCGAGCTAAGGCCAGGGTTCTACACGTCATAATTCTAACCTTATCAACCCAAACGTGCAAAAGGAAGTGAAAACGCTCTAAAACTATCCGGACCTGGACCAATGACATAATATCATATGAGCTAGGTTAGTTGCAGATTAAATGTCATATCTCACTCTTTCAACGATACTCACACTCTAATTCACATTAAAAATCTACAGACCGCCAAATCATCCAAACTCGATATTAATGCTGAATGATTACGAAGTCGTGATAAGCCACGTAATCCGCAATGCTACGCGGCACATACGCGATACGTCTTCAGCGAATGAACAGCCTTTGCAATTTCAAAGCGCTTAATAATTATTCCCACCATTGACCCAATATTCACAGGTTGCCACTTACACGCACCTCCCACCAAATAGCGCGGCGATGCGGCGACTCAAACTGGGTGATAAATAAAGCTGAACCAGACGCGAACCTACAAGTATCCTTTATCATTCTAAGTCGCGCCGTGACTTTCTGCACATTCCACAATCCTTAAGAGTCTGAATGTTTCAATGCTCTTGCAGAAGGTGTTGAGCGCTCTGTGTGAACAAATTTTGATTTTCAGCGTCTAATTGGTTCACCAGTGTAGAGCTAAATATCTCGTCGTAGAGATCTATATGTTCTTCCACATGCTATTTTTTGTGCTCGCCTTCACTTCTTCTATAACCATTTTTGATGTTTTGAAATTTCAAGGCCAAAGTACTTCTGGAAGTCCTGGTGAGTGCTTGGACAAGATAGCAAGAGAACTGGAAATAAATAATGTAGAAGAATTTCGTGATGTTCATCCAGGTGCTGCAGTGGAGCAATTGGCGAGTCGGTAAGAAACATCCTTTACTTTTATTTTGGTATGCAGTGATATACTGGTACATCTTGAATGTAAAAGATGTGTGACCAGCAAAGTTGTAAGATTCGCAGCATTTTGTGCAGGACTTCGCAGGTCATGTGTCGAGGCTCTCAAGATACGTGTATCGCTGTTTATCCGCTTTGATACTCTTATCTAAACTGCTAGTATATTTGCTGTTAGGTCATCATAGTTTCGACTTTTTGGCGTCCTAATTCAGGTGCTCTGAAAATGGTCATCTACGATACACTGCTGTTGGACCATGTACTTCTGGAGCGGATATGAATTTTTCGCAGTTGAAGTCAACATACTTGAACCTCGTGAGAAAGCACAGGGACGACGTGGACTTCAGTGTGGAAGACTTCTGTGCAAGTGTTCAGGTAGACAGAAGATTTCATTCTTTTTCTATCTGGGTGAACGCCAAAAGCGATTGTGAAATCACTCGTGAAAGGAAGTGTAGACAGCGAGAAATACGACATAGAGGAACCATTGTTTGGGAAAGCTGGTAACTGCTCCAGCCTTACACCAACGTTTTGAAAGTCGAGTTTTTAGATTAGTTTTCTGTCTGTGCTCCTAGTCTATCTATCTTCCTCTGAATTTACCTGAAATAATCTCGAGCGGGGACTGATTGTGAAGAGTACCTCTTCGTCGGGTTTGTAAGATCGAGTCCCACCTTCTCATCCAGGAATTTCATCCACTGTGGTCAGTTCTCAAGTGGGTTTGTCAAGTAGGAAGCGCATCCGTTCGCTCTTGCTAGTTTTTGGATGGGTCACCTAAACATAAGCACTCACGCCGGTGGCAGTCCATACGGCCTGTCAGCTAAGAATCGCCAACCACTCACGAGTGCCTTGCAGTTCTACCCCCCCCCCTCCCAAAATTCAGACACTCATTTACTCGAAGCAAGCTTGAAACTAAACCTAGGCTTAGGCATAAGCCAATGTGTACGCTATAAACCTAAGCCTGAGCCTAAATCGAAGCTTAACCTTAGAAGAGTGTGCAGCTCTGGTCACTGACCGCAGGAGGAGAACTGAACACTTGACCACTTGCTCGTGTCGTAATTTTATGGATGCTTTTGATATCAGCAAAATAATAATGATCTTACATGTGACTATAGATGTCGTGGTTAACAAAAATGTCCAATATGCTCTATTTCAGGGCTTTTAGAAACACTAGCCGTATAGAATATAAAGCAGTAGAATAACAAAACTCAATTGTGGTGATGATTTTTAGTGATCAACTTGTGGACAATACAGTGCGTTTCAAAAGTATAAAGCCACCCATGAAAACTAACTTTCCGAGTTAAGGTGAGTATTTCATGGCTTGCCATAAACTTTATTGAATTCAGCGTGTTTGGAAACCATTGTTCTCTTTATTTCAGGAAGCAAAATGATTCACATACATTTTTATAAGAAGATTTCCAAATATCCCCTGTTTCAAAAGTATAAAGCCACTTGCAACATAACTCTATTTTTCCAGAGAAAAAGTGAACATCGTAAATATTAGTAACTAGCGTGACTTCCTTTTTTAGAAGTGAGATTTAATAGACCATTTGGCATACTATCCGTGAGCTTCAGAAGTATAGCGGGATTCAGGTGGTAGGAAAACGTCTCGATGGCTGTCTGAGGTCTCCCACGTTACTGTACTGCTTTCCATACGCGTATATCTGTCGGACAATGATACCCCAGGTGTTTTTTATTGGATTTGGATCTAGGCTGCTAGCAGGCCATTCCAGTACACTGATTTTGTTGACGTAAACCCGGTGTTGAGTGGACCGGCTGCGATGGATGGTGGCGTAATCGTGCATAAAGATGAAGTTTTGCCGACGACTTCCACACAGAAACGAGAGAAGATCATTAAGAAAAGCATCCTGATTCTCACTGGGGTCCATTTGACACGAGACGAAAGACAGAGGGAGCACAGCATCGCTGTAGAATGCAGCTCAGACCATCTATGCGCCACCGAAGTTTCTCCTGCTAAATACCAGCGGATCTTTGCTAAAATCTCTCCAGAATCTGTGATGACCATCCGGCCCGTCTAAGTTGAAGTTCTTTCAACCACAGAAAATGAACTGAACACTACAAGCCATTAACTAAACGTCATGATGAAAGTGTCTCCCTACCCCCGTAGAATCACCTACGAACCCCAACTCGTTCGCATGTTCCTACTGGCTGAGGTTGCGAGCGAGGGTGTCTCTGAGTTGATGCTGCTTCCGGAACGTGGAGTCTTCATCATGGATTGTCGCACGATATTTGGAGCAGAGTTAGCGCCCCTCCAGATGGAGCTCGAAGCAAAAAGGGAGAGCTCGTATTCGGATCTGCTTGATTGGTACGCAGTTAGAATTTGGAAAGGTTCGCTTAAAGGCACAACCCAGGCAGAGGTCGTGTGAACTCTTCTCTTCGGTCAGAAGTATAGAACCCTAGGGGACAATCACAAATGTGGCGTTCACGTGCACGGAATTCGACCGACAAGAACGCTTTGGGCTTGCAAAGTAAGCTGCTCGAGCTGCAGCGAACGAGCTCTCTATATCAGGCCGTTGTCTGGTGCTCTCTCATCTGATGCGCTCTCTCGCCCCATACTCTCCTCTTCGCGCTTAGTCTCTCGTTCCTTTAGCACAGCCAATTAGGAAGGTGAGTGAGCCCTCAACCTGAGCGTTTTCGACGGATTCTTTTCCTTTTTTCTTCACTGCCGGCCCACTTGGCACCGATACATTCACATTCGTGTGCAAGAGCCACACCAGTGCGATCCTGGGGCATGCCTTTAATATGGCGTATTATAATACTCAAGCAGAACACGTGACCTTTCAGGGATCTTTCCTTTCATGATAAGCTGGATTCCTCAAAAGAAATGTCGATACAGCTTTGAGAACGTCCAAGTTGAGCAGCAATGGAGCGATTTGAATGGGCAGCTTCGATGTAACGTCCTCGCACGAACTTGCTCTTCCAAAAGAAAACGTAGATCCACGAGATATATTGAAGACGTAATGTGTTTGTGCTAATTATGGCCAAAGAACTCCAAACGAGTTAACAGGAACAAAAATTTTTACCGCTGTTGCCTACTCGCCCGGGGTGGCTTTATACTTTTGAAACAGGGGAGTTTTTCAAATTTTCTTATGGAACCGTTTCTAGCTTATAGTGGTTTGTACAACAAAGTTTACTATAGTTTCAGAGCGTGCTGAATTCGATAAACTATTCATCAAATCACGGAACCTTCATTCTAACTTGGAACAGCTTCATTCAAGGGTGGCTTTATACTTTTGAAACGCACTGTTACCTAATGGGGGTTGGTTGCGTGTAGAGAGGTTGTATGACATCATCCTGTTTGCGGCAGAGCGTAATTACCTGATAAATCAAATCAAATTTCTTTCAGCACCACGTCACTCGCCATCTTGTCTCGAAGCTTCACAACTGTCTCGAATATCTTCATGTAGTGGAGAGTTAATAAGCATAAAACATCTCGTAGTCAGTGGTGGTGTAGCAGCAAATGGGTACATATGTAACGGTAGGTCAATATACGCTGTTGTTGGATAGTTGAAATGAATTTCCTCGAAGAAGGAATTCATTGAAGTTTTGTCGTTCAGCCATATCGAAACTAGCGAGTTTTCATGGTCTAGAGGTGATCAAGGTCCCACCCCGCCTTTGTACCGACAATGCTGAAATGATTGCATGGAATGGCATTCTGTGCTTACGTGAAAAGTGAGCCGTTTCTTTGTTTTTGACATTCTCTTCACAAGGTTTGAAACCGCCCGTATCGGATGCATGCCGCTCAGTGCGATGCAGTTTTGGGCCTTCTGTTTTGTCCTTTTTCATCCTTGTTTTTTCAAGCGGAATATATTTCAGCGCTTCAAACATCCATCGGTATCCAGAAATACCAGAGTCGGTGTATGCGCATGCTCGTTTTCCTATTGGCACATGTTCACGTTCGTTGGTACCCTCAAAACCAAAACGAAAACTTGGTATCACAACAGTACATGGTGACGTGCCCTTGAAAGTTTTTGACATGGACCGCTTCAGACAGCAGAAAGCTGGCGCTTTGCTAGCAGGCTAAATTACAGAGATTGCTATTTGTTCGCCTGAATACACTTCGATCTTTCTATTAAAAGCGGAGTTCGCGATGAAAGGGCAGCTCATTAGAAATCAAGAAAGAGATGGTCAGTGGTACAGAGATGAAGAAAAAACTTGAGAAACGACCCAGAATCCGAGAAATGGGACCTCCTTTTTTGCTCATTGATTTCTGCATGGATACGAGTCTTACGAGTCTCATCAGTCCTGCTCTATTCAATGCTGATGCTCTCTGCTAAATGGCTAGAGGCTCAGGCGGCCAGAGGGGGGGGGCGTGCCCCGGCACGGGTATGGATTTGTTAGGCAGTTGGGGCATACTCTTCCTTGCGAAACCCTGGTCGTCCCGCACCCTCAGAAGTCTGCCTGTTTTTCTACTAGTTGGATTTCCCTTTTTTCGACCTCCGACCTTGTCGCGGAATCCTCTAATGTGTGTCACAGTGAATTTTCCGATCCCAGAAGAAATAATCGGACAGCTCCCTGGTTTAGGGGGAACAGGAATTGGGTGATCTTCCTTTCTGTCTGCCCTGACTGTTGTCATCTGTCAATCAGAAGCTTGCATGAAACCACTTTTAGACGTTGTAGGTAGTAAGTAGGTGTCCCTCGGTAAAGTGTAAGTTAGGGTAAGTAGGGAAGGTGCCTTAAATTTAGACTGAAAGGCGAACTTTATGTCCGGGATTATGATTACGAATGGTGCCCTAAGTTGAAGTGCGACACCATCAATTTGGCAGTAGTGTCTGAGGCAGAAACCTAGCCGTTTTCCACTTCTGTTCTCTTAGTTGTATGATGTTTTTACTCCCCTTTCTTGGTTTTGCTGAGTATGCCACGAGTTGTCGAATTCGATTTTTCCAGTTCTG